AAAACTGAGGTACAAAGACATTAAATTACAGGATCACACAACTAGCCATTAACAGGATATAAAGTAATGAGCATCATGAACTATTTGTTACCCATGGAGATAAACATGGCAAACTGGAAATGTAACTATTGCAAGTTCTTGAGCATGGCTTACCTTCTGTGATTTGCTCACATGGTCAGAACCGTCCTTAGGTAACAAGCATGCAAAGCTCTGGCCCAACCTCTTCTTCATCTGAATGTAGGAAGTTTTGGATGATGCCTGCGTATCCTCAGAACAGTCTCCTAACCATTCCTCTCTCACCAGACCCGGGGCGTCCAGTGCCAAGGAGCTCTTCTGTCCTATTGAAAGCAGAGAATGGTTCTCTCTAAAATAAATACAAAGAGCAAGCAAATTTAGTCAGTTTATGCAAAACACAAAATGGCATCTGCCATCTGGAAAAACACACTAAAGCCGCGAGCCGTCAAGCCCCTTTCAAGACTTTGGCATGTAAAATCAACATTTTTTTTTTAAGTCTGAAAGGTCCATGTGAACTTCCAGCTTCATTAAATGTAATTCACCCTCCCCCCTATTTCTCTTGCTGACATCCACTCACCCATCACACATAGTTCCCAGTTTTAAAAAATTAGATAGATGGATGGACAGATAGATAGATAGGCAGATTTTTTTACTACATGGTGAAAAGGTCTCTGAGAGATGGGCTTACCAACAGAGGATTTTTAAAGAAGATAATAATGAAACACCCTTCGTAATTACCTTCTTTTTCATGTTTAAAACAGTTTAAACAAATAAACTTGCCTTTGTATTGCCTATATATATACTTGAAACCTGGTTTGTCACTGACATTCCAGAGGCCCAAGATTTGTGGGTTGATGCTGTTGGTGTCTCTGTGATCCCAAACTCCTGATCTTGCCTCCCTCTGCACTAACCTCAAGAAGTTCAAGACAGATGAGAAGAAGAAGGGCTGCTTAGGTTTTGCCTTGGTGCCAAGCTCGGTAAGTGGGGCATCCAGGTGGAAATATGTTCAGCAGACAGAAGCAAAAATAAGATGCTGTCAATGCTTCGCTAAGAGTTTTGGTTACATGGGCAGGAATTGAGACCTGAAAAGTCACTGATGCAGTGTCAGGAGGAGGCTGATCAAACCAAATGCACAGAGCAGGAGCTGAGTCACTACTAAGGATGAAGTTATCCATGGTCTTGGAATCAAGGAGGCTGGGGCACAGTCAGAAACCATGAACAACAAAAGAACACTGGACCAGGACACAAGGAACAGTAGCTAAAATACAATAAAGCATTCCCATGGCCTAGTCACTTTACATTCATTAGATCATTAACTGTCACAACAATTAAAGGAGAAAATACTGTGCATGTGAGAAAACTGGAGGCCAGGAGCTTAGGTCACACTGCTAGAGGAGGTGTTCAGGTTTAAATACAGACAGTCTGATTTCAGAGTCTATCCCTATAACCACCACATTTTACCGCCCAGCATATGCATGTATAGCCCAGACTAGAGACGTATACACCATAGGCTGTTTTCTCTATTTATTCTTTTTAACAGGTGACTTTTATTTTATCCAATATATTAATCTGTATTTCCATATTCTCTGTTTTATAATCAGAACTTCTCAAAGTTTACTGGGATAAGAAATTAAAACCTGCCTAATGGAAAAAATAAACTAAAACTTGATGAATGAAGAAAACTTGTTTTTTTCAGGAGCAGAAAACTATACAAGGCCAGAGGTTGGTGTCAGGCTCTGAATGGTACCTAGGATTAGTCCTGGTGCTGTTCAGATCAGAGTCTGCTGCTGTCTCTTTCCAGGTAAATCCCATTGCAAGGCCGAGGATCTGTTCCTCAGGTCAGATCTTTGGGTGTACAGGAGGGGTTGTGGGGAGCCACGATGGGGAACAGTTTATTTCGCCAGGGTGATCTGATCAGAGCATCAGATTCTCTACTTCTTTTCTTAGTCAGCATAATCCATCTATGGGTATTTGACCCTGGCTGGCTCATTCCATCATCCTCTGCCACATTTAGAAGTGCCTGGTGACACTGGCATCAAAACGACTACTCTTTTGATCATTTCTTTCCCTTTCAGATTTAGGGAGATGTGTTGAAGTCTTCCAGAAGTCAGTATGCCGCTCTAATAGAAACAGACATGAGCATGGAATCCACCGGACCTCACTTAAACCCTTAGCTCCATCACTTATCAGCTTGTGACCACGGACAATTTATTTAACCTCTTTGGTCCTCAGTTTCCTCATCTGTAAAATATAAGATGCTGGGAGGATTGGATTGGCACTATAAATTGTTGTTGTTATTATTATTATCAGCAGCAGTAAGAACATTAGATACTATCACCCATCAGTTGCAGCAGAAGACCCATTCCTGCCACTCCTGGACAGTTGCCAAGTTGCTGCAGAAATGATGTGACAATGGACTCCAATATATTATTGAAGTGACATTCTCCAACTCCAGGGCCCGAGGAGCTTGCTGCTATCACAGAGGCCCCTTTAGGCCAGTCTTTTGAGTGTCACTTACACCAGTTTGGAAGTAATCTGCTTGCTCGCCCTTCCAGCAAAGGATGTCATGATCAGCTAATGGAAAGTGACAAGAAGGGATATAATGAATGAGAGGGAGTTAAAGTTTGGGATAAAAAAAGAGCCTTGTTCTTTTGGGGAATGCACAATGCTAAGCATACCATGTTAAATCGTGCGTGTCAAATAATGGACTAATTAAGAATCTTCATCCATTTTTTCACATCTCATTTTTGTTGTCCTTTCAAAGATGTATTTTCAAATTAGCTCTTAACTCTTTAAATAAGTACCAACAGGAAATAAAAAGAAACCTTGTCTATCAGAGAAGCAAATGATAAACTGAAAAGAAAATACATGGGAAAGGAAGATGAGGATTTTGTGGGAGATGCTGAGAAGTTTTTATCATCATAGCAGCAACTTCTTGAATAATGGAATTTAATAACATGTAATAAACTATGATCCAGGAGAACTCTGATTCAATCCCACTAATTGTTTGAGCCAGTGAAAGGAAGGCAAAGTTTATCGTGCCAACATGCTGCTAATGCCACTGAACACCGCAGGGAACAGACAATTGTTCCCAGCTGCCTACCTCCTCACACAGAGGGGGCACATCATCCCTGCCCCCAAACCCCAAGCTGAATCTCCAACTTTCAATGACAATCCTAGTTCAAGGACTTTAAAGTCACAGAAATGTAATTTCTGCAATCAACAAACTATTGTATTACGCAGAGAACAGAGGGGTAACTACATACAAAGCCCCCAATTAGATTATAAAGAATAATAACGAATATGCTTTCATGCTAATGTTAAAAGTACAAAAACCTATAATAAATTTAATTGAGCACATGATCATAAGCACTGTTTTTCTACCTACATAGTTTTGCTGTGTTAAGGTAGACTCCAAATAAAGAAACACTTTTTTTCATTGTTATTGAAAAAAGTGCTTTTTTTTCTTTTCACTTTGGATCATTTGACCAATGTCAAAAAATCGGAAGGTATAATTAAGAAAAAAAATTATTTTTTCCTATCATTACTCAGATTATATTTAAGGATAAAATTTTTAAAAAATGAATTGAGACAATTCTTTGAATAATTCAGTTCTTTCCTAACAGATTAGAGGTTTCTAATGAAAATATATTATTTTTGTCTGAATTATTCATATAATGCCCTTAGTTTTCTACTTTATTTTATAGGTGTGGGTCTGTCTATTGATAAAAAAAAAATCCTTTGTAATCATTTTAAATTATTCTTTAGGTTTTTATTACAATTAAGTATATAGGGGCTTTGGTACATAAATCTTACGTACCTCAGGAATAAACCATCTAAAATTCTACAGAACATTTTGCAAAACAGCTATTTTAATTACTAAACCAAAAAGAACAACAAAAAAAGTAAGAATAAGTATTAACTTTTCTCTCCCAAAAAGGTTCATGAAACCTTAACGGTTACATTTGGCACTAGAAGGAGGAGTGAAATACCTCTGTAAAGTGATAGTCTAAAAACAGGAAAATTAGTATTGTGCCACGGCTATGAGCAGGTAATAAAGGGAACATGGTTAAAAGAGATTAAGGTTCAAATTAAGGTCAGAAAAGAGACTGATTGAGGAAAACTGCCATGTTCCATTGCATGGCAGTTTAAGTGAGACAGTTTCCCCCTGAATCCGCCTTAGGTTGAAAAATTACACTGTTGGGGTTAATAAAGAGGCCAGGCATTTGTTTGGACTGAGACTTCAATTAAAATGTTATTTGGGGTAGCCAGAGCTAATGTCTTGCTTAGAGGTAAACTGAACTGCCTTTTAAGAGAATGGAAAAAAAAAAGAAGATGAAGAAGAATAAAAAAGACCACCTAATCTGTCAAAGACCCTGAATAACTGGCAGAAAGAATTGTGTTTGCTGGACCTGTGCCCAACTCAGCAGTGAGCATTCTTAAAGGTTTTGTGACATCATCTGAGGCAGCTGAGGTTTTCTAAGTTTTTGATTGTTGCACTGGGTGAAGAATCTAGTGTTCAGCTGAGCCTTTTTGAGACAAAGAAAAAAATCTGGTTGGTGTAATATGCCAAGTTTGAGCTTTCTTTTTTTAATGCCACAAGCGAGGTGGGACCAAGAATTCTGGGTCTTAGTGTCCTGCCTCTACCCCAAAGACAAAAATTGATGAATACAGTTAATTGAATTTCTCAGTCCATACCAATTTGCCCACAGTTAGACAAAACCCACCAAAGTTTGCTTTCATTTTACTTCTTTACGGTGAGTGAAAATCTGCCCCCAAATAAGTTCCTCCTCCTCTCCATTCACTCCTATATCCCACAGGGATTCATTCAGGATGTTTGCTCTGGGCAGCATGAAGCATATTTTGGTCAACAAAACACATACATTTTGCAGATTTTATAGGGCTTATACTTTGAGGAAAGGAGGAGCAGTTTATAAGATATATATTTATATTTTTATTGCACTTTAGATTCTGGGGTACATGTGCAGAACATGCAGGATTGTTGCATAGGTACATACATGGCAATGTGGTTCGATGCCTCCATCCCCCTGTCACCTATATCTGGCATTTATCCCCATGTTATCCCTCCCCAACCTCCCTACCCCCAACTGTCCCTCCCCATTCCCCCTCAACAGACCCCAGTGTGTGATGCTCCCCTCCCTGGGTCCATGTGTTCTCATTGTTCGACACCTGCCTGTGAGTGAGAACATGCAGTGTTTGAGTTTCTGCTCTTGTGTCAGTTTGTTGAGAATGATGGTTTCCAGATTCATCCATGTCCCTACAAAGGACACGAACTCATCGTTTTTTATGGCTGCATAGCATTCCATGGTGTATATGAGTTCTATATATATTTACAAAGCTGTTAACATTAAAAGAAACAATATGGAGATGGAGAAGGATTCCATTTCTCTTCAGTATTTTTCTTAACCAATCCCATAAGCAGCCACATTACAAAGGCATGGGGTGGCTAAGAAAGCTGGTTAATGGCAGACACAAAATACGTGATTTTCTGTTGGGAAGCTGAATTTGAGATCTGGTCTTAGAGATAAAGAGATTCACAGAGAGAGAGGCGGGACAGCCCCAAATAGCGTAAATAAGAGCAAAAATGAACTTAAGAGTATGGACGTGATTGGCATTTTTTTGTCCAAAGACAGATACAACAGAGCAATGGACTGATGGCTATAGAAGTGCTGAACCAGAAAAGGGCTCTGGGCTAGGGAAAGAGACGCTGTCACGGAAGGAGCGGGACCAGGTAACCGCACGTAGTGCGGTGCTGGAGTCCAGAGAAGAGGAAAGGAACCATTCTTGTCCCTTGTTTCCCTCATGCTCTTCAGTTTTTTAACAAAGTCTGGAAAACAAAATCTGTTTGGCTTGATCCCCATTCAGATTGGCCTCAAATCCAGTTTTTTATTTAACTAAAGAAGATGTTCATGAAAGCCTAAGTCCCCCTCTCCCAATTTCACCAAAATTAAAACAAAATAAATTTGCTTATCAAGGACATTCAATCTTCAGAATTTTCTTGAAGAATATAAACTTGGTTGAAAGAGCAGTAGCAGGCAGTACCTCAAGTTACTCAGGAGGCTGAGGCAGGAGAATCACTTGAACCTGGCAGGCGGAGGTTGCAGCGAGCCGAGACCACACCACTGCACTCCAGCCTGGGTGAAAGAGGCGAGACTCCATCTCAAAAAAAAGACCACTCCACACAGAGGCATAATGCAAAGTGGGAACGATAACACTTTGAAAACAAAATGCCAATAATGAGATCATTGTAAAGGGAACAGGGAACCAGCAAGCTGAGAAGTAACACAACGTCCACGAGTGCTATGTCTGTCCAAGTGGTGGCAAAATCTGCCAGGCCCAGATTGACTTCATTAGTCATTTAGAAGCAGGTAGATCACAGAAAAAATTCGCCTCCTCCTCACTGAGAAATAATTGATCATCGGTATAAATAGAAAGGAATTAGAACACCAATTCTTCAAAGCATAAATACTTCATTCACCAACCAGTTGTGATTTCGCTCATGGCAATTAGGAAATATGCAATATTACCACTGGACAGGTGTGAATGTAATCAACTTTAACAGAGAATCAAGGTGGATAATTCACATTGGATACAGACTGAATGTACAGATTACATTTTCCCAGATGCAGTTAAGGAATTTGGGGAGAAAGAAGCACAATTATATAACCCATTTAGCCCTATTCACAGCACTTTTACTCCTTCAGGTCTACTCGCACCAATGTGATTCTCATTCAGCAAATATTTTTCAGGCACTTTCTAGATACAGGGCACCATGCTAGGTAATGGGAATTCTACCCAGAACAATCTTCTCTCTTAGCATCCTCCACTCATCTTCTGTCTTTTCTGTGCCCTTACTCAGCTTGACTTTTCTCCAAAGTATTTATCACTACCTGACATCATACCATATCTGTATTTGTTTTTTGTTCATTGCATCACTTACTAAAATAGGTCTGTGAAGCAGGCACTTTGACTGTCTTCCTGTGTGGTATACCCAACATTTAGGCCACATTAAGAGCTCAAAGAATGTTGTTGAATAAATAAGGCTTATGTCCAAAGAGACTATTCATTTCCATTATGAAAAGCGGAATAAAAGAAAACTATAGTTATGAGCATGTATAATTAGGGTTTCTAACCTAGGAAATGAGAGAGGTCTTTCCTGAGCAAATGACTTTTAAGTTGGACCCTGAATAATGAGGAAGAGGCAGTCTGGAGAGGGCGTTAGGAGGCCTTTCAAGGAGAGGCAGCAGCATGTATAATGGTATTTGTAGGGTTGAAATAAAGAGGAAAAAACCAGTGATGTGGAATCATGCTGAGGGAAGGGGAGAAGGGAGGAGTTTTAAGAGATGAAGCAGGAGCCAAGGACAAGAGCCAGATTATCCAAAATCTTGTAGGACATGTTCAAAATTGTAGACTTATTATAAGAGCAATATGGAGAGTTTTAAGCAATGACATGATCAAAGTTGTTAATTCATGACTCTCTACAACAAGCACAAAAGGAAGTATTTTCATGTGAGCATTCTGAAATTGGGTATGAGAAGCTGCTGGAATATTTCAGAATGTAGAGAAGTATAAAAACTTAAGCATATTTACTGAGTATCAACCAGAAGCACCCGATTATAATAGGCAATGTGGGGAGGGTGGTGACCACAAAAAGTTGGCAGCCTTTGTTCCTGAAGAGAACATGGCCTCGCTAGCCCACTACCAAAAGGCAATACACACCCACGGAAAAGTTAGAGGAAACAGAAGCCACGGATGAACTGACTCACTGTCTCTTTCCTGACTGCTTAAAGGCCATTACTGCCACAAAAGGTCCTTCCTAGTGTGGCAGGACAATGCTTTGCTGCCTCTGCCTCTACCCGGCCTCCCCTGGTGTTCTGAATTCCAGCAGCAAGAGGCCACCCCAGGCTCCCCAAACATAGGACAGACGACCCCCATGCCTTTGCATGAGCTGCCTGTCACTCTATCCCTCTTGACACTCACAGTTGGTCTCCTCCCCAGGACTCAGCACAAGAATATGACACGTGCCAGGTACCCAAAAACTATTTGTTGAATAAATGTTAGAGATTAAGCTAAACTGTCACCGTTATTCCACCTTTCTAGTGCATACTTCCCGAGTGCCTGCTTTGTGCCAGGCACAGTGTTGAAGCCTTTCCACAGCGTTGAGGCCATTCTCATTTCGTCTTCACAACAATCTCATAAGGCAGATATTGCTACTATCCCCTATCTATGGACAAGCAAACCAGGGCTCAGAGAGGTACAGAGGCTTGCTTAAGAGTTTTCTTACCTTACAACAGGGACATGAACCCACGTCTGCTCCTCTCCTAAGCCCCCAGTGTGACTAGTTAGTTGCTTTTGCTCACCTCTTTCTTGAAGCCTTCCTTGATTCTCCAAACAACCCTGAAGATAAGCCTTAAGACTCCTAGAGTATTTTGTGTCAATGTGTGTTCATAGCCGTCCTACCTAATTTCTTCCTGGCAGTTTTAGTGTCTCTGGTGGATCTTGGTATCATCAATGTTGAATACCGTATTTGGCACTTGGTTGAAGTGTATATTAATATTTTTTGAAGAATAAGTGGATAAAGGAATCAGTTCAAGGCAATCTAATGTAAACTCTAAATGTACCCTTTAGGAGAATTAATAAAGAAACCTTTTTTTTTTTTTTTTTTTTTTTTCTCCCTCTATGTCCCAGGCTGGAGTGCAGTAGTGGAATCTCAGCTAACTGAAACCTCTGTCTCCCAAGTTCAAGCAATTCTCCTGCCTCAGTCTCCTGAATAGCTGGGACTATAGGAGTGTGCCACCACGCCCAGCTAATTTTTTGTATTTTTAGTAGAGATAGTGTTTTACCATGTTGGCCAGGCTTGTCTGGAACTCCTGGCCTCAAGTGATCCACCCACCTCAGCCTCCCAAAGTGCTGGGATTACAGGTGAGGAAAACATACTATACATGAATCCAACAGATAGAGTCTGACCATTCCCATTAACAAGAATTCCACAGTCCTCATTCTTTCCCTTATCTCCACCCAATACAGCATTCCTTTAAAGAATGATTTCTCTGGTAAATTGAAAATTTGCTTTATTTTCAAAATTTAAAATGCCAATATCATTCCACTGCATAAAGAGAGAAAAGGGAATCATGAAGACATTTATAGGACTATTCATGAGTCGTGGGTCCATGCGCAAGCCCAGAGGACATGTAGTTGAGGAGCATGTAGGAAAGAAACTGTTCACTGCCACCTGTTCCCCCAAGAAGAATATGAGAGGTCATGCTTTTTAAACTTGAAATATATTTCTCAGGACTATTTTACACAGACGTACAAAAAGTGAAATATTCCAAATCAACCACCCTTCAGATGTTGTCATCTCCCAGATGAGATTACTATACTAGAAACAAAATGTTTATTGGCTCACAAAAGACATGTCACCTAACAATTCTTAGTAGGGGGTCTGAGGGAAATAACTCACCCATTGTGAAGTCAATGTTCAAATCAATATCCCTTGGGGAGAAAAATATTGCTCATTGATAGAGATTGATTTTTCTTTTCCTTAAGAAAATTCCCGAGGGGTAAACAACATTTTCTTTTCATAGTGAATGTAAACAAACAAGGCAATGTCAAGGTCTACATTTTCCTAGCCTCATTAGCATGATACTCAAAAATCATGAGTGTAATTATGAATGCCTTTTGACCTACTGAAAAATAGATACCAGCTCCATTTTTTAAAATTTCATTTTAATATCCAAGCAACGGGACTTCAAAGACAACTTGATGTATGTTCTCTGATTTACTAAACAGCACTACTATAAGTGAGATACTTTCTGGTACTTTAAAACAATTTTTAAAATTGTATATAAACTAAAAAGTTCGATCTTATATTTTTTAACCTATGAGTCTGAAAATGTTCTTACTGCCTTAACCTTATTTTCCCACTCACGTTTGTACCCCTAAACAATTAAAAAGCATACGGAAGCTTTGGGTCTTCCACTTTCTGAAGCCCTTCACAAAAGCAAGATGTTTACGTGGGCAAACGGAAAAGAAGACTGAATTAATTCATTTCGTATTTAGCATGTTGGTTCAGTCTAGTAAATATTTAGATTTATTTACAAGGCCATGGTAGATTATAGTGTCCAATACGTAGACTGCCTTCTTAGGCCACAAGTGTGACCAAAAGAAAGCTTGCCTTCTACTCTTTGAAACTCAAAAGTTGCATAAGACAGGACAGATGGATGATTTGGGGAAAAAAGAAATGTCACTCAATTAATGTTTGTTGAAAAGGGTGTCACAGATCATTGGCAGAATTTCCACTCATTGGCAACTCCCTGAAGCAGCCAAAGATTAATTGAACACCCAGGCTACTGGGTTCTACAAGGAGAGAACAATGGTGTGCTGGTGATAACAGCGGCTAAGATGTGGAGCCAACAGAAGTACAGCTGAATGAACCATCTTCCACGTGCAGGAAGAGCACCCCCACAGCCAGACCATCTTTGTTCTTTCTTCCTGGGGTAGAGATGGAGTCATATCATACCACACTCTTGTGGTATGTATTGTGGTATCTATTTCTTGTGGTATCTATGTCTCTTTCTAAAAGAATGCATTTTTTCAAGTGATTTAAACATAAAATTAGGAGCAAAGTTCATTGATTGGCATAGGGTCATGACCTACAACTTGACCTTAAGAAACATTTAAACCACACTGATTATACAGATTTTTCTGATCTAATGGTATGATCTATATAACTATATGCATCTGGTAACATAATAAATGCTGTCTAGAACAATGAAGCGAAGCAAAGCAAACCAAAAGCCCACAATTTAAAATAAACAAACAAAAAGTAAGATCTAACCCCACCTTCCTAAACATTTGCTTCTGTAGGAAGTAAAAAAAAAGAAAAAAGATCCTCCAGAAGTACCAAAATCAAATATTTATTAGTCTTTTAATTTTCTACTTACTTGAAATTCAAAAACAATTTTCATGCTTTGATAGGAATGTGGGGTTGTTTATCATTTCAAAACCACTTCTGCTTTCATCACAAATCGAAGAACTAACATTGAGAAACAAAGAACTGGAACATTGAGAGATACTGGGAATA